TATTTGAAGCCAGCGGAAATGTTTATTTTGTGATTTAACCTAACCTGTATGGCACTATTATTAGCTTTTCCCATTTTTTCCTTCGAATATTAAAAATCTTAGACAAAGTGATCAACATCTGCCAGTTCTATATAGTCATGCAAATATCTTACTAACTAGCTAAAATTATATTTGTTGTAAAGTAATAAAGCATGTGAGGGACCATAATGACAGTTGCCTATCAGTGACCATTTTTTCATACTGTTTTTATGGAAGTTAATAATAGATTTCAGTGAAGTCAATGTCGGTGAAGAATTTGTTGTTTTGTTATATGTAGTGTAGGTTTTTATACATATTGTTTACAACAGTGGTTCCCAAAACTGTCCCGGAGGACCCCCTGCCCTGCACATTTTGTATGTCTCCCTAATCAGACACACCCAATTTAGTTCTTGCAGTCTCTACTAACGAGCTGATGAGTGGAATCAGGTGTGTTAGATAAGGGAGACATACAAAAGGTGCAGGGCAGGGGGGCCTCCAGGACAGGTTTTATTAGATCAAAAGGGTGCTTCTACTAAATACTGAGCAAAGGGTCTGAATACTTAGGACCATGTGATATTTCAGTTGTTCTTTTTTAATAAATCTGCAAAAATGTCAACGATTCTGTGTTTTCTGTCAATATGGGGTGCTGTGTGTACATTAATGAGGAAAAAAAATTAACAAATGATTTTAGCAAATGGCTACAATATAACAAAGAGTGAAAAATTTAAGGGGGTCTGAATACTTTCCGTACCCACTGTACATCTACATACATACATACATACACACACACACACACACACACACACACACCGATCACTTGGGCAGGCATTAGTTTTAGAGCATCATCTGTTAACCATTTAATATGATAATATTCAGCATGAAAACAGAAAAAAGTCGGCACACCTAGGCTCCATAAATGTAATAACTCTTCATCAGACTGATCAGCCTGCGTGCTTGAAGTGTCACCTATGTGATAGTTACATTTTTGTATTTTTGGAGACTTTTTTTTTTTTTTTCTATTTTCATGATCAAAAGTTTTTTGTTGAGCATCCTGTTTGAGTTTTTTCATTGTGTGTGCTTTGTTTTGATTTTGTTTTTGCTGATATGATGATATTCAGCCAATAAATAAAGCTCTATGAATTTAGTTATTAATTTTATTTTATTTTTTTAACTGAACCGAATTGTTACAGCCATTAAGTGACAAAGCATGCTGCTCTTTCCAGGTGAAGAACAAGTTCCCAGTAGGTGTGGATGATATTTCCTCAGAACACCAGAAGTTCAGCAGTCTGGCCACTGCTGAGTTTATGAAACGCTCCTTTAAAGATGAAAAAGGAGAATACCTGAAAAAATTGATGGTAAATTTCAAATGCACCTCTCGCAATAATGCAGCTGTTATTTGAATAATTCGTAAACATGCAAAGCCTTGTTTCATTGTGCATTATTTTAAATGCTAGTTAGTTGAAGTGTTTAGATATTGCTCTTATGTGTGCAAGGAAAAAATTAGTCTTTTTATTTTATGAACGCTGAAGAGGTGCACAGATGGTCATTCCTTAAACGGTAACTCAGCTATGGTAGTATAGTAGACTTTTTCCAGCTTGTATATGTGATGCATGTATGTGTGTATGTATGTTTAGGAAGACATAGATATGTACTATGTATGCCTGCTGCAAGAGAATGAGATGGCATCAGAGAGAAAGTGCAGAGATCTGCTGAAGAATCTGTTCTCTGTCATGAATAAACGGCTGCAGGATGGAGAGTACAGTCAGTCTGGAGGATATGAACTCTACTGCAGAGACAGAGACGCCATTGTTGAGCAGTACCGCAGAGAACCCAATAAAGGTGTATCGGTGAGGACACAGTGTTTTTGTGAAATTGTTTTTTGAATATACCGGTAGGGATGAGCGTGTCTATACAGTAAAAGTTAATAATGTATGTTTATATGCAGGCTGAGGCTGTGCTGAATGAGTTTCTGAAGGAGCGAGGACCAGAAACAAACAGCATCCTCTACATGGACACAAAACTCACTGAAAATGACAGAAAGATTGAAGGTGAATCTTTACCAACCTAATGAATATTTGTAATTCATTACACTGTTTCATCCTGGAGCATTTGTAATTTAATAAACCCAAAACCCCAAATTGTTACTCAAGAGCATCAATAAGGCATCTTGGAGTTCAGGTTCCGGAGATTTGGTAGTAACATCATATTTCACATATTTTTTGTTTTCTATGTTGACTGGATGGAGAGTACAGTCAGTCTGGAGGATATGAACTCTACTGCAGAGACAGAGACGCCATTGTTGAGCAGTACCGCAGAGAACCCAATAAAGGTGTATCGGTGAGGACACAGTGTTTTTGTGAAATTGTTTTTTGAATATACAGGTAGGGATGAGCGTGTCTATACAGTAAAAGTTAATAATGTATGTTTATATGCAGGCTGAGGCTGTGCTGAATGAGTTTCTGAAGGAGCGAGGACCAGAAACAAACAGCATCCTCTACATGGACACAAAACTCACTGAAAATGACAGAAAGATTGAAGGTGAATAACCTAAAACCTAATGAATATTTGTAATTCATTACACTGTTTCATCCTGGAGCATTTGTAATTTAATAAACCCCAAATTGTTACTCAAGAGCATCAATAAGGCATCTTGGAGTTCAGGTTCCAGAGGTTTGGTAGAAACATCATATTTCACATATTTTTTGTTTTCTATGTTGACTGACAGAGGAAAGGCAAAAGAATGCTCTAATGAAACAGAAGTTGAAAGAGGAAGAGGAGAAACGCATTGAGAGTGAACGTATGATGCAGGCAGAGAAAGAGCGACAGAAGGACCAAATGAGACAGATGCAGGAGAAGTTCAACAAGGAGAAGGAGCAGCAGCAGCAGGAGATGGACCGAGCCATTGAGAGCAAGCTGATGGAGCGGGAGGAGATGCTAAAGAAAGACATGAAGGATAAAGCTGATCTCCTGAATGAAGAGATAACAAATCTAAAAAAAGAAAAGGAAAGTTCTGGTGGTTTTATGAAGGAATATGTGATGCCTGTTTTAGGAGCTGTGGCAGAAATCCTTCCAACTTTCCTTAATTATAGAGTGTTGATGAAAGGACTCAAAAAAGTAAAATGACCTTTTCCATGCAAATCACTATTGCATCACAGATTGATTTATTCATATAGCTTGCAAGACACAAAGTATTTTTTATTTTTTTTAGTAGGGTTGCATTTTGTTTGTTAAAGAGTAGTGTTCAAATTCACACATTAATGTACTGTATACGGTGTGATAAAAGTATGTACTATGTTGCTGGTGGTGGGAAAATCCATAGATTTTAGCATGTAGTAAGGCATGCAAGTTTTTAGAAGATCTGTTTCCCATTCTGTTGCACTGCCTTTGTTTTGGTGTAAGCATTGCATTCTTTTTTAACAATTTAATGCATCAGATAAAACATCATTATATAACTTACAGGTTCATACAAACTCCTTTTATTCCTTTTCCTATTTTTGGAGTCAGTTTGACTCCCGACTTAAGCCTTAGAAAATGATTGAATGCATTTCTTGTCTACATTTATTTATTTTTAACTAAGAACTGGATACAATGGCCACATATACATTTCAAATTTTGCCATCTTTAAGTAGTGATGAATTTATAGGCCAAACCAAAAGGCCTCTCTAAGTGTTCAAGAATTTCCTAATTGGTTTTAGAATAGTTTTTTTTTTTTTAAATTGTGTGTAAAATAAGGTCTTTGATGAACATTACTTGATGAGAATGTTCTACAACAACTACATAGTCGCACCACTAGGAAGCTGATATGTAAGCACTTCAGTGGTTGTCCAGTTTATCAAGTGCATCTTAGTAGTTGTAGTCCTTACACTGTTGGCATGGTTTTGCCACAACTTTATTTTGGTTGTATTTTAGCCTTTTTTAGACACATTCATATATACAGATTACGTTACTTTAAAATCGAAATAAACCAAGTAGCTATTTTTACAACATTTTCAGCCCCTTCAATCAGGAATGTACAGCCATGGCAAGAACAGACAAGCTTCAAGCTTCTTCAGAGGTTTATTGTTTGCTATATAAATATATACTCAATGCCAAGGACACATTGTCATATATACACAATCAGCCTCAATCAAAAGAAACGTTTATTATATTTCAAAGAAAACTGCATTTAGCCTATAAGAATGTCGAAATAAACAGCATTTTTTCCCCATCTGATTACAAGCAAACAAAAAAGTGAATACACTCTAACTCAGTTTAAGAACATTTGATATGTTAACTAAACATTTAAACACAAAGTACAACACTATTTTTTGATGTCAAAGCTGTTACTGGACATAGATTTTGGCCATAATTTGGCCACATGTCATGGCCTAACTGGAAGGTTCCCAGGAAGATTTACATCAGGATTCACTGATTTTGTGAATCATTTTAACACTACATGGAAGGTGGCAGTCACTCTGATAACAGCAGCTTTGTTCATAGTTCATAACAAATGGTGCTCGCTTGTCAGTTAATATGGCATATAATATGAGAACAAACTATACACACATATATATATATATATATATATATATATATG